GGGGGGGGGGGGGGCTGCGCCTGGCCCTGCGCCTGGGCCGCGGGCGCCTCCCTGGGGTTCGTCGTTGGTGCTGGATGCGCCAAGTCCCAAGTGCCAAGAGCTGCACACAAGCACACGTGCAAGCTCTCTCAAGATCGCGACGCCGGAGAGATGATCTGACCTAACCTAACCTAATCTTCTCCTTGATTGGAGAGAGAGAGAGATGTTTGTTTGATTGGTTGATTGATTGAAAGAAATGTGAGATTGAGGTAAGGCGAAACACAGTCCGACCAACGACTGGGACACCAACGCGGCTTGTTATTGCTAAAAATCCCTCTCTCCAACGGCAACGCGGTATCCGTGGACGCAGGACGGGTGTATTTCGCGCAAATCTATTTCTCGAGTCTCTCCCAATCAATCGGTCCGGCGGCGGTGGAGCCTCCCACGGCGAAGATTGAAGAATCGGGGGGAACGAGCTAAAGGCGTTTCGAGATTCGCACGCCCCTGCTTATGCACGTACTTTTAGCTTACTGGGAGAATGCGGCAACTTGGGCAGTTACAACTACCACCTCGGCATCTAAGTTTCGGCGCACTGCAAGCTAGGGCGCCTGCATGATGAATGCTATGCTCTCTGGCGGGAGTGGATCACGGTGCCAAAAACCGTGACGTGCTGCCGAAAGCCTCTGTATCGGATGCTCTCGCAAGCCGACGCTGCGCGGGTCGCGGTCGTGCGGCTCAAGGCAGCGCACACGTGGCGCGCCGTGCCGCGGACGGCGCGGCTGCTCAGCCCAAAGGACCGCGAGGTGAGCGCCGCTCGCGAGCGTTTTCTGCGCACACGCCGCGCGCGCCGTGCACTCCAGACCCGCGCTGGGTCCGCCCGCGCGCCGTTGCCCCCTCCCCCGCCGTGGCCGCACGCCCACGCCCACGCCCCCTCCCTCCGCGCGCGCCCACGCGCCCCCCCTCCCCCGCGCCACAGGACCGCGTCGAGAAAATATGCGAGGCGCGCGCCGGCCCTGCAGCCCTGTAGCCCCCGCCCCCCCGCCCTCGTGCACGCGCTCGGCCACCCCCCGCCCCCACCGCACCGCTCCCTCCCCGCGTCGCGGCCGCGCGCGGCGTGGGCACGCCGCCCTCCCCCTTCTCTCTGCGGCGCATCTCACGTTCCCCCCTCCCGTCTGCGCCACACCCTCTCACTCCAATCCCGCCTCACGCCCCCGCCCCCCGCCCCCCCGCGCCGACACAGGTGACTGAGGACTTTTGTCTTCAGCCCCAGACGGCCGGCCTCGCCGTCTCGATGTTTGATCGCGTCTGCGCAAAAGCCGCGCTCGGCGCAGAGATTAACGTGCCGCTCGACGTCGTCGGCCTCGTGTGCGTCCTCGTTGCGACCAAGTTCCAGGAGGTGCGGGTGCCGGCGATCGAGGAGCTCGCCAAGATGGACCTGCCCAAGGGCCGGGCGCCGCGATCGCGCATCCTCATGAAAGAGGCCGAGATGACCGTCCTCTGCCTGCTCGACTGGGACCTGCACGAGGCGGCGCCGCACCAGTACCTCGAGCACCTCTTCCAGATCACGGGCGCGTCCAA